AAGAAGTTATTACTATGTTCGCATATATAAATTATTACTTAATAAATAATTTAATATATATATATTGATAGATCCGTATTATTTATTTGTTAATTTACATGTTTATATATTATAAATTTAATTAAAAATTATATAATAATTAAGGTTCCTCTATTGATGATAAATCATATACTGCCATCTGGTGATATGAAAATAAAGTATTTGGTCTGTTTATATTTATTTATAATTTTATTTTATTCGTTAATTTATATTTCTAATTAAAAATTAATACATTTAACGGATAGATATTTTTCCAAAAAAATATTTTTTAATTTTATTTGATAATTAGTATTAATATTACTGATAATTTTGATTATTTGATATAAAATATTCAGTAAAATTTAGTAAAAATGTTAATTAAATTAAAATAAAAAATATTAAATAAAATTTTAAAATTTTTTCTGAAGAAATTTAAATTTTTTAAAAATTTTTGTATAAATTTTCAATTAAATTAAATTTTTTAATAATTATTTCTCAGTTTTAGAACTGAGCATGCATGTTTATAAATGACCCTAACACATTCAGGATGTCAATAATATAAGAAAACTTATGTGAATATTTTTAATAAATAATTCAATTATTCCTAAAAAAATATAACTTACAATATTTTTAACTTACCATAAATTAAATCTATATTAACTAATTTCTACAATAGGGATACTTTAATTGATAATTAAGGGTCATCATTAACATAAAGTAGGATAGAAATTTTAATAATCTACAACACTATAAATAAGTAAACTTCATTAAAAAATCTACAAACTCTTCAGATTATGAAATTTACTCCTTAATTTTATATTATAAAATGTAAATATAGAATAAGTTATGAGAACTCATATTTAATAATAATTTAGAACATATCACTTGATATTTTAAAAATAATGTTAATAGTTCTTCTCTAAGTACTCTTCATATTTCAATAGTAATAAATGGGGATGCTATCGGAAAATAATTCTTCAAAACTCTTATCGTTCTGTGTAAATGACCCTTAGAAAAGGGGAGGAGAAAAAATATTAAGCTGAAAATTTCATTTATGTTATCCTCTTCTCATATTATTGGAAATATTTCACAAAATTTAATTAAAACTGCGCCCATTCTTATCTTAATAATAATTATTAAAATTATTATGCAAATTCATCTCCAGAGCTTAAAAATTTATCCTAAAATTCTTGTGAGAAATTTATTCATAATATTAACTAGAAAAATCTTTTAAATTAAACATATTTAAATAATGATAATTTATAATATCAATAACTTATAATAATGTTAATTATTTTTAACTAAAGTCTTTAAAATATTATAAATTTTTACAATAAATTACTGAATAAATTATTTTAATTGAATTTAAATATAAGCAGACTGGCTCAAAAGTTAGTTAACTAAGTTGTTTTAGAAGCTACACTTGTGAATGTGAATTTTGACTTTTGTAGTAAACGCGAAGTATCTCAATTTTAAGAATTTACAGGCGATAAAGTGTTTAAATAAAAGTGTAATTCAATCTTTACGACAGTTAATTGAGTTTTGGGCCATCCTATATATTTTTTAAAATGAAAAGTAGTTATAAAAAAGAAGAGTTTATTTAACTCAATTATATCAACTATCAAAATGTCCAAACAAAGTTTAATTCAATTGATATTTTGCTACATCATTTAAGTCATATAAAAGTAAAGTCACATTTTTTTTCAACAAGGGTCTCGGGTTATTAATATATTTATTCTATTGTACTTTTATATATATATATGAACTCGCTAGTTTTTATTGTAAAGTGCAGCTAGACATATAATATATATATAGTGAAGAATAGAATTTTCTATTGCTTTTTGCATTCTTCTGCAATTGAAATTCTTGTTTTTTTTTATTGTATTTCCCTTTTCAAAGCAGCGTAAATAACCAACTTGTAGTGCAGAAAAAATTTGCAATATACTCTGATATGAATATAAGTTGTTTAGTAAGATCTATATATATGTACTGTATGTGTGAATAAATGTACATGTATGTATTAACATTAAGTGTACAAGTCTACATGTATAATGCAATAGCTTATGTAAGTTAAAATTGTTTTTTATTTTGGTTTCTCTTGATGGAGGGGGAGTTTGTTTCCCCTTAAGTCAATTAGATTGAATTTAATTGAATATTTTACACTATATAAAATATGTGAATAAGGAATATTTAAAATTCTATAATTACTAATAATATATAAATTACGTAAGGTGTATGATTAATAAAATAAATACAGGTATATTAAATTTTATTAACTAGGCATTCCACATGTACTGTACAGTACTTGCATACATTTATTTATTTATATTTGTATAAAAAATACAAGTATGTTCGTAGAGGTGTGTGAAGACAGTAAAAAACACAGGTATATCAGGCATAACTGTGCACTCTTGTTTTTATATATAAACACACACTTATACACACACACACACACACACACACACACATATATATATATATATATATATTGTACAAATTACAGTTAATTTTAATTAAATAATAATTCTTGTTACAGGCCATTTTTGAATTTTAGTGTTAACTTTTTCCACTAAATTATCTTCATAAAAATATCAATTTAATATTTCTTGAACAAACTGATGTTCTTATAAAAATGAATTTCAATGATTATTATTTAATTAATTAATATTCAATATGTGATGTTTCAAATGTTCAAAAAATATTATTAAAAGAGTATTAATTCAGATTTCTGTATTATTAAAAATATTGAGATATTGGTAAAAGCCTATATGCGATAATTTTCAGAATTTCAATTCATTCTATCATAGCTGATATCAAATCATAGATTAAAATCTTTTACGACACTTTATATTGAATTTACAACATTTCTTACAACTGAATTGAATAAATTATATTATTTTATAGGCCACTTGAGAAAAAAGACTTCAATGAAATAAAAGAATTGTTATTAGAAGATGAAAGGATAAGAAGTATTTTAAATGAAAACACTTCTGCAAATAATAACAACAGAGAGGTAAATAAATATATACAATTTTTTTTAAATAAAATTTTATTGAAAATGTGAGGGGATTGACCCATCTCAACTATCTTGATATATAGTTGAGATATGAAGTTATTGATATGGGGCAAGTAGAAAGGTTGAGAGAGTATTATGTAGATGCAACTGAGACAGACTCTATGGTTGCAACAAACCACTTATTTGACACAAAAGAAGCTGACAAGGTTTCTGCAATCTTGAGAGTTCAGTCTCTGAGTCTTCTAACCTTTTTAGAACCTTTTTATTTCCAGTAAGGTAATATATTTAGATGCAAGAACAAACGTTTTCAAATCTCTATTGATATCTGCTTCAGGTTCGATGTTATTCTCTGAGTCTTCCTCACCCTTCCAAGATAGTCCCAATGAAGAAGTGCTTGTGGTTCATGAGTGAGTTCTTTTGATGACTCCAGGATGATACAGTCGACTTCCAGTAATGGGAAGATACTGATCCGAGAAAAGGAGAGAAACAAAGATAGACACAAGACACACATACAACAAATAGTCCAACACTTGGAACTTTTAGAAGTTGTTGTATCCTTGAAATTCCAGATTTTATTATTTTCTGTTCCTGGTCATCCTATTTCAATTGGTCACTTTCCCTGTTTTTACTTTCTAAGTGGTTGGGCACTCATCATCAAGTATAACAAGATCTCATCTTAGATTGTGAGAGAGGTCAAAATCAATGTTTAATTCGATCCCAACTGGAGTCTTAGGACTTACATTCTTTTATTGTTTATATTTTCCTGTCATATTTTTCATACTAAAAAATTATTTCTTACTTCCTTTTTATCCCCACAAGACAACTAACTGAATAACCCAAAATCAGCAATAAGAACACTCACTTTAGAACAGCAAACATTTTCTTCTGTCTTGAGTGGTCATCATCAGGCTAATGTTCAAAAAATAGAACTGCATATGTTGGACCAAATAGGTTTGAATATATAGCTGATTGGTGGAGATGGTTCCAGCAAAAAACTTGTTGAAATATTAAGATTTAAGAAATATGGAGTTAACACTAATATCTATAGCTTATGGAGATATAAACTAACCTGCCAAAAAATTAGAGACAGCAGCACATGCAATGTTGTTGCATTCTATGTATGAGGGAAATGCTTTGAATCAGAACATTTGCATATGATGACATAGGTACAATACTTAGTTCTGTGTGAGCTTGGTTAAAGTATCAATGGACTGTATAAAGGATTTATTTCCATTTGATTGTGGATGGATTGTTGGAACAAGAAGAATAGATCACTCTATCCACAAGATGGTCAAAGCTCTTGAATTTTCTTGTGTAACAGTTTCAAGGGTTTACCAGGAATACTTAAATTCCAGATAGACATTAGCAGCATGTGCACAGTGTGGGTGCCCATGGCTGATGCAAGAATGTCACTGCTAGTGGCTAACCAGGTTAGTAACCATGCAGTAAAGGGCAACTCTGTGCCAAGTCACATCAGTCAACACACTGTACAACATACACTACATTCCTTGGGATTTGGTAATCATATGACCCACCCAGGTACTACTACTGTCAAACTCCCTAATTTATTGACATGAGGTGACTCATGTCAGAATATGTCTCGCCCCTTAGTAAAAATCATTGCCTTATTTGGTCATTTACATCGACTTTCTCATCGGTTCACTCAGACTTAGAGGGGAGTACGGGGTTATGTTTTATCCTGGTCGGTAACCTTTTGGTTACTCTCTAGATAGTAACAGGTGGTTGTCACCATTAATTGGCTACTTATCTGCACTTTATATTTATGTTAGACTTGAACGATCTCCTGGTGTGAGGATAGTCCTTCTTCAGACAATTAAAGTCACCTTCGAGGTGACGCAGTACACTGAGGGGTCAAAAGGTCTACTCTTTACTTCATGAGAGGGGAAAAGAAAAAAGGAAATAATGATAAAAATAAACTATACCAATGTGTGAAAATTCACACTTGAGTCCGAACTCTCACACTACCAACACCCAGACATCTGGTAATGTGCCAAAGAATATCAAAATTGGACAGTGGATGACTGGTGCTGTGTTGTGTGGTCAGAATATTGTTTTCAGCTGATGATCATGTTCATATGATGATCACATGAAGCCATGGATACATCGTGTCAGCAAGTTGATAGCAGCTCTGTCCTGGTTTAGAGTGTGTTCTGTTGGTGTGAACAAGGACCAGTAGTGAGATTTAATCAACTTTAACAAGTGCGAAGTATGCTAATTACAAAAAATCACACCTTTAAAATCTAGCAATGAATTTAATAAAATAATAATGTTTTCAGCCAGCTTCACTGATCTTCTTCAGCTACAATAGAATGGAAAAATAGAAGAACACAAATATAAAAGTTTTAAAAACAAGAACAAGAATTCTAAAAAATAAATAAATAACAGCAATCATAGTTGAAATTAAATTTTTGTATTCACGTTCTTCTATTTTTCTGTTCTATTGTAACTGAAGAAGGTCATTTTCAACCAGTGAAACTGGTTGAAAATGTTATTATTTTATTTAAATTCATTGCTGGATTTTAAAGCTGTGATTTTTTTTTTTGTTTTCTATCTTTCCAGTTAGTTCAAAATATATGTGTATATATATATGGATATAATCTTGTGGCAGACATTTTGCATCCCTTTATGCTTTCTGTATTCTTTGAGAGTGGTGGTTTATACCAACAGGATAATGCTACTACCCACAAGGCACAGTTGACACAACAATAGTTTGAAGAACACTAGATAGATTTTTTCAGCTACTTCCTTGACCATCTTGGTTAACAGATTTGAACCATGCAGAGCATTTATAGGACACTGCAAATGTCACTCATTGTCTTTCAGAACTATCCAACAGATGCAACTGAATTATAGAGAGCCATTGAACATGTCTGGATTATAATACCTGTGCAACTCAGATACATCATAGTCTTTGCCACATTGTGTAGTTGCTGTTATTTCTCGGGAAGGAATTACATGTTATTAAGTAGGTATCTCTAATTTTTTGGCACTTTAGTTTATAAGGAGACTTCAAGAAGAGTGGCCATCAACTTTGAAGATGATGACACTTTTCCAACAGCATGGAAATACAGTAGAACTTCTTAATGGGTCACAGAATAACAGATTTTTTCTCCACATCCTAATTTTACCTCTTTTTAGTGTATCTCACAATATATTAGTCTTTATTCTTTTTATATAGTTTATCAATGATTTTTTCATCTTTCAATGTAATTTTACCGTTTAGCGAATCCATAACTCAGAATAACAGATTTTTTTCTAGCCCCATCTATTGTAAACTTCATGTTTTTCAATGTTTAGTTAATATTTGGGTGTTTCTGGGAATTTGTAGAGTTCAATGATGAATCTGGAATATGTACAATTGAAGAAGTGTACAAAGAGTCAGCAAGCTGATACAGTTTAGCTTGCTGACTCTAATACAATACAAAAGCTAAAATAATATGGAAAATACAGAAGAGGCAGAATGTCATCTTCATAAACTTTTTTGACTTGATGATGAATCTCATATGATCACATTTTCTGCATGAAGAAATGAATCACAGATCTCACTTTGTGTGACAGGATTTTTTACATGTTTATTCATTTTAAATATTCACAGAAACAATAAGAATGCTAATAACTCAATAAAGCTCAAAAGTATGATTAACTAAAGAATGAGACTGACTGATTTTGAATTACCCTTCTAATTCAAAATCAGTCAGTTTTGTTGACCTTTGCTGGTATGATGTGCAAACAGACTACTTTCTGAACAACTCTTGTAATTCGACATATTCTCTCATGAATGTAAGCAGTGATCATTTTACATTTATTCCATGTTGTTGTTAAATTTATAACTCCTCCTAGTTGAATACAACTTTTAGGGAAGTTGTCATGAATTGGATCAATGAAGATGATCATTTATTTTTTCAATTTTATAAACTTTTTTATCATATTGAGTATATAAAACTTGCCTGTTCTTTTACATGTGCAGTAATATTTTTGTTATAGTTTATATTATTAGTTTGATAATCATTAATAAAGTAATTGTTGGAAACATACAAATTGAAGCATAATAAATAGCATATTTATTTAAATTTAGACATCAAGTCCAGATGGGTCATACCAAAGTGCTGTTTCAAATCTTTCTGATACTTTAGTCAATGAAATGTAAGTTTTTGAAAATCTCAAAATCTCATAATTATCTAAAAATCATTCAATGTACATAATATTTAGTGTAACAGAAAAAGAAATGCATGTTGAAGATAGTGACGAAAGTGATTGTATACAAGACAAAGAAATTTGTCAACAAGCAGTTCATCCAGATGAGACTATTGTAGAAATTAATAATAAAACTAAAGAAGCTTTTAAATGTAAGAAAATAATTAATACTTTAATAAAATAAGAATTAATTCATTATAAATTATATCTTATTAACAAAAATTTTAATTTAGCTAGTTATTTTCAAACACCTGCGCCCTTACAAGATTTAAAAACAGTTCTTAGAAGAAATGCCATTAAACAAAAAATGACTATAGAATCAGATAATGAATTTGAAAATCTAAATAGATCTCCATCACCCACTTCCAGTATTTCTTCATCTGGGAGTGTTGAAGGTGCAGCACGTAAAAGGGTAAGTGCAAATTATTAACTTTTATTTTATGCAAATTTTATAAAATTTCTGTATTTATGTAATGAATTTTACCATAAAACAAAAAAGAACTAAAAGAACGTCACTTATAAATTAATTTCAATACAATTAAAATATATTAAATACTTTATTAAAACTTCCTACTGATATTTTATTATTTGTATTAAATAGACAAAAATTATTTTATCAAGAAGTTACTTTTAACTATATATATGTTTTACTAAATTTAATTAAAAAAACAAACTATTTGAGTATTTTAATAAAGTTAACCTTTGAAAATTATTTTTTTATTTAATATAACAAATCTGCATTAGCTTGCTTCTTTTCTCATTTACTTATTGACATGAAATGTTTGAAAAGAAACAGATTACTTACAGGAAACAGTAGTACAGAAAAGGAAATTTAATAAGATACCAGAAAAATGTGACATTTAAAAATGAAATATTTTTATGAGCCATGAAGTATCAAAGCTCGAGCCCACTTCCTAGACATAAGTATTACTTTTTCATTCCCACACAATCCAATGACCTGTAGCCGTATAAAATAGCTGCTTTCAGAGTGTTAGTCACTAGGGTCTACACACATTCTTTTAACATCACAAACATTAGGAAGGGCTTACACAGAAGAAATTCCCATAGCTCACTGATAGAGCAGAAAGCTTGTAAGGAGCATCCACATCTTAGAGGTACGAATATACAACCCCACCCACAATTGCCTAGATTTATAATTTTAGATTATGATTCCAGACTATGGTAAATTTATAAACAGATAGCCAAACACATAATGCTCATATCCATCTATAGACTGTTGAGCAATGGTAAGGATAAAGTAAACACTGATAGGCTCCAGGAGTGTATACTCTATCCTAATTTATGATGGTAGTAGGTTCAATAGATAGCATACATTGGTTCTAACAGATCTTTATCTCTCAGTCTTAAAGATCATAAATAAACCTAGACAAAGATAAACCAATTATTGCATTAGCTCAATATGCTACAGAGTCCAGGGTGTCAATTAATTTCAAAGCAAGGCTAATATGACAGGCTTTTAAGGAACATTTATTAATAACATGGAGACACTTGAAATATTTAAGGGAAACTTCAATGGGGATTGTATTAACAATAAAATACTGTCTTTCACATGGAGGTCATTGTTTGATAACTCCCTGATGAATATTGGAGTCCCATACACACAAGATAACTACAACTAAATTTAAAATTAAGCAGGTTAAATAGGATATTAATAAATTTACAGCTTTGTAACAGATTACAGGATTTATTGATGAATAATAAATAAAAACAGTATTTTACTTTTTCAGCTTGTTATGTGTACAGTATAACATGGGAGAAAATATTGCAATTGTGTCAGATTTGATTCTCCCAAGTTTTTTGCAGTTTTGAGACCTCCTGAATCCAAAAATTAAAAAATTTAAAAAATTCATATGTTTTGGTATCTATTTTATTTAATATCTCAGGATGGGTTAATGATTAAGGAGCGAAATTTAGCACAGTAGCTTGTGTATAAAGGGCGTTGATGCTTATAAATTTTGGTGGTTATAGATCAAGGAGTAGGAAGATAGAAAGGGGTTACATGTCATAGCTCGAGTGGAGTCTGGCTTCATGAAGATTTTACTCATTATTAGCATTTATAACTTTATATACAGAGTGTTCAGAAACTCCCATTACAAACTTCTAGGACTTGTAGAGGAGAGTGAGTACATAATATTTTGATTAGGAACTCATGTCATGGGTTCCTAATCAAAATATTATGTACTCACTTATTATGTACACTTATATTATGTACTTAAGTTTGTAACGGGAATTTCCAAACACCCTGTATATAACAGATGGAGCCATAACACCTTGTAACAAATGGAGCCGTAAACTAATTTTAAATTTATTCTACTGCTTGATTTTCTTTTTGAAACCGTGTCCTGTTTTATATTTGTGGCGTAATAAACACTAGTATTGTGTTTTATTCTAAAGACACATGGCAAATTTTCTATCAAGTTCCTTTATTCGTTGATACGGTACATTGTTTTTTACTCGTTTCGGGCTGCGCAAACAAAAAACATTACATAGGAGAAACAAAAAGAAAAGTAAAAACTAGACTGAAAGAACACATAGCAGATCTTAAATACAATAGAATAAATTCTGCATTTTACGAACATTGTACTATAAACAACTGTAATATAGATAAAGATAACGTAGAAATACTGCATAAAGAAAAATTAACGTACAACAGAAAGTTTAAAGAAACCATAGAAATCATGAAAAGTAAAGACAGTATAAATAAAAACTTAAGTCTTAAAATAAACGAAAACTGGATTAATATATTATAAATAATATTTTTATAATAATATTTTTTTCCTTTTTTTCTATCGAACGTCATACATGGCAACACTTAAGACACCAGCGCATAAGAAAAAAATAAAAAGGGGGTGGAAGGTAAAGAGGGGGAGGAAACAGTTAAAAATTTTTTACAGTTTGTAGTATCGAAATATGCTTATAAGAGAAGTTTTTAGAACTTTTAACCTTTTAATTTATTTATAATATATACTAGTTATACAAAGATTAAAGCAGGTTTTACGTTTTTAAATTATAAAAAGTGTAACAAAAGGTACGTCTATATATCATTTATGTACTCATTATTTTATGTAAACTCTCTACTGTTATAAGTTAAATATATATATTGTATTTTAGTTGACTGAAGAGGGGCAAAACCCGAAACGAGTAAAAAACAATGTACCGTATCAACGAATAAAGGAACTTGATGGAAAATTTGCCATGTGTCTTTAGAATAAAACACAATACTAGTGTTTATTACGCCACAAATTATTCTACTACGTTGTCGTGTTTACAGATGGAAAGTTATGCATTTTGTTTCTGGTTTTTTATTTAATGAAATGTCTTGTTTTAAGTTTAAATAATTCTATGACTCTGAAAACTTTTTCTAATTAATAATTTTAATCAATTAAAAATTTAACTTTACAAAATTTAAGAAGATAACTCATTAGAAAGAACGGTAAATATACAGGTGATTTTTCTTTCAGTTTTTTCTTTTTTTTAAGAGAGACATGCTGTATACCTTCTAATAGACACCTCCCATGTTTAATTATCGAACTGGCTGACCAACCCAGCACTTATTAGTCTATGATTATGTTCTACAAAACATAAAGAAACTGAGTAAAGAAAGGGAAAAAAAACACAAAAACAAACTTTTCAGACCAGAATTTGCAATAGTGACACCAGTTATGCAGAAACAAGAAACAAATTTCTCATGCAAACACGCAAGAAGTGCACACAAATGTCTGACTCTGTGCAAGCATTAGTTCTAAATTAATGATTTTCAGCTGTTGACGCTATTTGCCACAGCACCAATAGCTGGAAATCAATTTGTGATATTTTCTGGTCATAATAACAAATTATGGTTGCTTTATTTGTAATTACTATTAGTTAATAATGAAAATAAATTATTGTCCTTTAAACAAAAGATAACATTCTCAAACTAAATTATAACGTCTAACGAAAAAAATCCATAAACGTAAAATAATATTTGGACTTGACTCCTAATAAATAATATATATCATGGTCAACTAATTTTATTTCAGTCACAGTTTAGTCACTTTTTTCTTGCTGTTAGTTATATTCTCACTTAATTTGAAGTCATTTTCTGTTCTGATGCCTGTTAATAATATAAATACTTTTTAAATAAAATCTCATAACAGATGGCACACCACACGACTTTTAACTTTTGCCAGAAAAGTTACTCAACTTGTTGTTGTTGAAGATTGTATTTATTTTAAGACAAAAATAAATGTATACAAACATAGAATATAGTTTGTAGTATACAATGTATAAGTTTTAGAAAGTTTTAAACAGTACTTTTTGTTTCATCTATTAAAATGAAAAATTTATGGTGTTCCAACCAGACAAGTATTAAAAAACTACATCTTAATCCAGCAAAAATTTAATATAATAAAAACGTTTTCAATCGTTTTTAACGATCTTCATCAGTTCAGAAAAAAGTGGAACATAAAATGATTTCAGAATAAATATAAAAATGAAAAATTAATGGAAGATGCCCTTGCAGCTGAAATATAGATAAATAAATAAATAAGGCCAAAATGTAGTGAAAAAGAATAAATAAGATATAACATCAAAACTAGCATAATTCGTTAGCATCATTAACTATTGTAAAATGATCTCTAAGCGATAGACAATGCGTTCGCTTCCCTATGGTTTATTCAACAGTTATTGTGTGTGCCTTGAAGATTTCCAACTTCTCAAGGTGTTTCACTGTGTGCCTATTCATCGATGTTTTGATAATAGTTTTGGACATTAACATCTTGTTGTCTTGTATATATGACACATAAACCAGGAAACCAGATACATCCAGTGATTGAAAAATATAGCTCCCCAACATTCTTGATTGAAAAGCAGCTAGTCAACTTCTTCCATGCTAGGAATCAGCAACATCCATTTTCTATTACCAACTCGCTACAGCTTGTGGAGAATCTTGGGGACATTTCTCTTACGGACAATGAGTATATGACTGTGTTGGACTATGAATTCTTGTATCCTTCAGATTGTTAACCATTCATAATTTAGAATTGTACAATAAGATTTGTATTGCAAGTTTGGAGATGATGATATCAATTATTAATTTTGATAACATCACCTCCAAAAGTGTTTCAACTTGCTTTAAATATATCAATTATTTGGTATAAGCAATACATTACAATATTCCTCTCTTTGTAGATGCCATGGTCAATGGAAGAAGAAGAATTACTAGTTGCTGGCGTTCAGAAATATGGAACTGGCCACTGGAAGTTTATTATATCAGATGGAGGACTTTACAATCGAACACCGCGTGATCTTTATGACAAATGGAAAAATATTAATAAATATAATCATCTCGATATGATAAAAGCAAGATTAAGGAAAAGATATGTTCAATAAAAGAAATAAATTTATTTATTTAATAAGAATTATATATACTTTTCAATTGAATGGAATACTGTAGACCCCCCATAACACGGTAGATAATTCCGCGTTATATGAATTCTGTGTTGTACGAGGCACTTAGATTTTACAAATACGTGAGCCGTTAACAGCCCGGCACACGTATTTGTAAAATCTAAGTGGCTCGTACAACACGGAATTCATATAACGCGGAATTATCTACCATGTTATGGGGGGTCTACTGTATTAAGCATTAATTGACCTATGCAAAAATATAAAGATTAGAAAAATTCTCAATAAATATTTCAACAAGATATATAAAAACTGAAATCTCTTTATTGAGAAATCTGGAGCCTGTGTGTCCTTACATTGTCTAACCATATAGATTATCAGATATATTTATTTCAATTTAAAAATTGTTATTTGTAAAAGTTTACAATAACAATAAACTAAAAATAGATTTCAGGTATGATAACATTTATTGTATACACAATAAAATAAAATATATATATTGATATATTTTTTTTTAATATTAAATATTCTTACAATATAAAAAAATTTATTATATTCATTATTAATCTATGTAATTATTTCCATATTTATGATATTTTAAGAAAAGTCGTAAATATCCATATGTAGTAGTGAAAAATTATTACAAAATAACCACTCTGATTCTATTCATGTAATCTAATGAAAATACTAATTTGATAATTAACATTTTATTTTAAACTGAAACAATGTTTGATTTGTTGATTTGAATTGCATTTTGTGATTGCAACTGATTAGGATAATTGGAAACTATTCTACAGTTTACTCTCATTTGTTTAAAATGAATAGATTCATTTCTAAATTAAATTTTTTTTTAAATTGAGCTTTAAGATAACAAAATTTATGCTTTATTTTATAAAACTGTGAAGTTTTATTTTGTGTTAATTTGCTTTTATCGAAATATTTAATTGTAACATATTAATATAAATTATTTCAATTTTGTGTAAAGAATGTTCTGAAACATTACAGTGATATGTATAATTCTCTATACTTTTGAAAATTTGTAATTAAATTTAAATCTACTTAGTAAATACAGATAAATGAAAGAGCAGGGAAATAATTTCTTATATGTGTTATTATAGGACCAAAAAAATCATACTTTTTGTTGGATAGAGATCTCAACATTCAACAGCAATAAAAATAAATGTATTTAAATTTAAAGAGAGTTGTGCGTGCCAAAGTTCAGATTGAAACAACTATTTTTTAAAGAAATGAAGCCAATATGCATTAATAAGAATAAATTTTTAAAATGCTAATTGAAAAGGAGGTGATAAAAAACTAAATTGAATGTACTGTACAGTACAAGGCGGTTTTTTCCAACCTCCGATGGTCCATAAAACAAAGACAAGTGTAAATAACAAAATGGATTTATTATCGAAAGTTAGGTTCAAACATGGTTACTTTTCGACATAATCACCGTGAAGATTGAGGAATTTGTCATATATATGGACGAGCTTTGCAGAGCTTTGCCCCTCTTCAGAGAATTGTCGCCAGTGACTCGAGATGGGACTTAACGTTGTTTTGAAGATCGTGATTAGTCTCGAACCTCTGTCCTAGCCACGTTTTCAGTTCAGGAAAGAGGTGGAAGTCTTCACACCTGTAATGTGTGAAGACTTCCACCTAGCTTGGAAGTTTTTAAACACCCCACCCAGCATATAGCGATTTTATGGATCATCGGAGGTTGAAAAATAACCGCCTACGTTAAACTAGAATAAAAAAAAAATTGAAATTCATGCACCTAAAAGGAATGAAATCATATGTTGAGTGCTAAGTGAACTCTCAATATGCCTTAGATTTGCCATCTGTAAAAGTTGTAAGAAAAATCACTTGGTGCAACTTCAACGTTTGATTCCAAAACTGAGTCGTACAGTAATTTGAAAACGTTTCTAATCTATTAAAAGATCTTACAATCTTTTAGATAGGGAACCAAGTTTTAAAAATTTTCATTTGCCATCCTTACTGTAAGGCAGGGATGGCAAACCTCTTTGAGTCGAGTGTCATATACTGTAGAGAGCATAATTATCTTTAAACATATACGTGCCGAAGTTTTGGACTTCAAATAACGATGTTTAAAGAAATGAAATTAAAATGCTTTAATTGGAATAAATGTAAAGAAGCTGATTGAAAAAAGGATGATCAGATAATAAATCGAAATTGTATGACACGTTACTTGCCAATTGCTTGTGATGTAGTGATTGTAACGGCTGAAGAGGGACACCGTGGTTACAAATAAATATTTAATTTCTATATATAACGTCCTTTTAATCCAAAAAAAAACTTGTTTGGTAGACGGTCTCACAGCTTTCTGGTTAGAAAATTACGACTTTGTTTCACAAATTGAATTTATATACATCAGATTATACAAATGCATTTCGGGTTGGTGTAAGTTTACAACCCCTCTTCAGTGATATCATATAAGGACACAAAAATTTTATTTCTATTTCTACATTTGTATCTTCCATAGATATACACAACAATCCAATTTATCCAGTGTCCTTATTGAATAAACAGCAACTATATTACATTAAAAAATAAATAAATATTTAATGTTCATCAGTCTGAGAGAGTTCTCGATAGTGTGTGACGTCCTAAAAGGAGCTATTTATAGTGATCAGATATTACTTGTACGAATATATTTAAAAAACATTACTAATAACAATTATAGAAGCACTTTTATTACAACTTATTTTTAATAACGTATAAACGTTAAATATAGTTAATATCAACCAGAATTATAGGAATCAGACATGTCAGCAAATGAATAGCAAATGTACTTAGCAATTAGCATAATTCGATTTAGGCCAGTATAGTACAGGAAAAACACGCACAAATATATTTATTGTACAGTATCAAAATCATTATAGTTCTCCATATTTAAACTTCTGTTTGATTTATCTCTACCTCTTGCATATTGCATTCGTAAATAACTTATATCTTAGTTTACATTACCACTAAATATACTTACACTACGTATAACTTAATATAAACCAATTGCTATGTATTTTTGCTTTTCGATTCTTTATCCACGGTTAAGCTTCTTTAGATCAACAGTAAACGATTTTTTTAAATAAAATATAAAAATTATTACTTTCACTANGGGGTGCACTTCTGAAAAGATATTTTCCATTCAAAAGTAATTTATTTATGAAATTTTTAATCGTTTAACACAAGAAATTTCATTTTTTTTTTGTTTTTTTAAATTATTTATGAGCTTTTTGGGAGGAATTTGTAAATTTTAAACGTGTTTGGAAGATAGAAAATAAGGAAGCAATCTTCGAAATGAAAACAAAGAAACAAGATATCGAGTTTCATTTCGCATAACAAGAGTAAGTTTATCTCATCTTTTGTGTAACAAATATATTTATTTATTTATCTTGCGATAAATGTGTAAATGCTTTTATGCATTAAATCATATATAACAGCAGTAATTTCTGTAAAAATATATATATATATAAAAGAGGTGTTTTTATTTATGTTTATACTTTTTAAAGAAAAAAAAACAAAATAAGATTATATTCATTAAAAATTTTAAGCAATTCAATCAATTAACGCCTATTTTAACCTTCAAAGTGATAACCTTACAGAAGGGTGTATTATTGTCTCTTCTATATGACACGTTCATACTTAAATCTAGTGACGTAAAACCCCCCACGAAGTGTCGCAGTAATATCATTTCAGTACAAGGGTAAGTGATTATGTAAGCTTTAAAGGATTAAAGAACAAATTTTCCATTTTTTAATGTAAAAAAAAAACAATATTTAGAAAGTATTATTTTTTTTCATAAATAATATTAATTTTCTCATAATNCTTTTCGATTCTTTATCCACGGTTAAGCTTCTTTAGATCAACAGTAAACGATTTTTTTAAATAAAATATAAAAATTATTACTTTCACTATTGTCTTTATATAACAGGGCTGCAATTTGAAAAAAATTGTAGACCTATAAACTCCCGCTATCGTCCGTCCATCTGTCTTTCCTTAATCTCGAGAACGGAGTTAGATAGATAAAAGACGAGACCAGATTCGGAAACCTTACGGGCCGGAGGACCCAATTAACTTTATACGAATTTCCTGTGCAAACCGGAAGTAATTTATTTACTTCAATTCAAAAATTTTTCCTTTGAGTTACACGACTCTATTGTTAAAGGGAAAGTATGATATACAGGGGCGAGCCAATACTAATTTAAGGTGGAAAGCATTTTAAGTTAAATAAATAAAAAATTACTGCCCACCAAACCAAACCTCCGAATCTACATCATCTAGCTCCAGTGCTTAGCTATCGCCACTCTTGGATATGAAACTTCCAAAGACTTATAAGCTAAACACTAAATTTTCAGATGCCCATTTTTTGGAAAAGCTCGAAAAGTGCTTTCTATTATTTGGACAAGGAACGGTTTGTGTTTAAGGCTACGCGCTCACCGAGCGAATTGGAGACTCGAACGTCTGGCCCTTCTCTCGCTAGCAATAGGAATCATTTTTTAATAAATAATTCTGTACAACACATTTGATCCCAATGTTTAAACGGTATTTTACGGATTCTGTCGTGGTCAAAATTTTTGTTTTAGTCTACCGAAAAAAAGATTAAAGTGAAAAAAGTCGTCTTAAAAAATTCCCCAAAATTTCTATTGGTGAGTAAAAAATCCCAATCTGGAAACACTAGGTGGCATTACATAAAACTACCTTCGGTTCTCGACGTCATTTTCCACTTTTCTTTCCGAACTTGCTGTGTGACGTCATAAAATCGCTAGACGGGATTCTCATTGCACGAAAGTTCGCCATTTTGCTGTTTTTCCTGAAGCGTGATTTGTGATTCAATTTCACGCCGAATGTTGAAACGAGCGGACTAGGATTTTATCGCCACTCGCAATCGCCAGTATTATATTTTTATCGTTACCTTTTGTGGCGATTTTGGCCCTATTCGTTGCTAGAAAAAGTGTTTTTTACCTCTCCCGAAAAGTTTGTTTTTTGTCATTTACAACATTGTGGTATTGCACGCTTCATTTATTTAATGAAAAAGTCCTGCGATCAGAACAAAC